GGAGATAGAAAACTGGAGTTCCTTTTTTCAGTAGTCGAAGTACTGACAAGCTCGTGCTTCACTTCAATTTGAGGATACTTCCAACAGAAAAACGAAAGAACATCCTCTGTCAACAGCCAGCAACCCCTGAGGTCCAGCACTTCTAGCATTGGAGGAGGAACAAAAGAATCGAGCCCAGTATCAGTCAGCACAGAATCACGAATTGCAAGATATTTCAATCTTGGAATAGACGATACTTGGTATAGAGATGCATCTGTAAGGATACCACTTCGTAAAGATAAATAGTTCAATCTGCTCAAGCTTGTCAGAGGACACAATGATGCATCTTGAATTTGTATCTCGTCCAACTCCAATATTTCCAGATAACTAAGATTTTGGAGTGCCGAAAATGATGGGACCCAATCAGGTTCGTTGCCATCCTGGTGAATGAAACCTGGTCCAGTAGTACAGAATATATACTTAAATTAGTGTCAAGTATGCTGTGAAAGATAATGTGCAAGAAAATGTAAGGAATTGGATAGTGATTAGAATGAAACACAAGAAGGGAAGTGGTTTGATTAAATCTAATATACCTTTAACAAGTGTACAGCTCAGGTCGATCACTTTGAGGGAAGGCATCATGCCAATATATGAGACAGCAGTATCATCAATGGAGGTGCTGGACAACAAGATAGTTTCAAGACAGGGAACATGTCCAGCTAATATTGCAACTCCAGCAGAGCTTATTTTTGTGCTGCTGAGATTCAAATATCTTAGATTTGCTCCTACACAGGCAATGTGTTCTATAGAATCATCCACCACCAAAGTACCACTGAGATTCAAATGTGTGATTGCCTTCATAGAAGGCAAAAAGCAAAACGAGGGAGCAGAAGAGTTGGATAAATCCAAGTGATAAAGGCAACTAGTGTCCACATTTAGGAAGGTGTCATGGACATCTGTAATTGTAGCTCCAGAAAGAATAAGCTTCTCCAGGTGAGCTCTGCAACCTTCTTTAAATAAAGAATGTATTGTGCAGTTACTCATGTTTAGGCACGCAAGAGAGAACAAATTTGGCAACTTTGTAACATTGGTCCAAGCTAGATTTAAAAAACTCAGGCTGGGGAACACTTTGAGGAGAGCGGCCCCCTCGTTAGATACTTCACTCCCCCAAAGGTCTAAATATTGCAATTTCTTGAGAATCTAACAAATAATAAGTTATGTCAATCATTTGGAACATACTATTCAACCTTCTGAAAGGAGTAAATTTGAAACTGACGGTGAAAGTTAAATTAGGAAAGACACGGAAAAAAATTCCACTGGCAGGGCAGACGAAGAAACGTGTAAAACACACACTGACAATATATTGTCGATGTGTGACTTGTATGAAAGGTGGGCTAAATAACCATGATAAGTCACAACATAAGCCTACGTTTGGCTCATGTTTATAAACTGTTTATAAACACTCAAGCACTTTTTATCCACACATGTTGACGGACCCACAAGTACCACCCACCTATCCACCACTTACTTTTATCTTTTATAATTCATACCATTTATAAACACTCTTGGACCAAATCAAATCTCTATTCGTTCTCCTATTTTAAAAAGATAATAAACTTGACAAATAGCCAAAACAATTATTTTGAAGATGGAAAATATGATTCTACGGGTCTAAATTGAACTCATGACCGCTTTGAACTTTAAACTCAGTAACTTTATGATGACCTCATTGTAATCTTGGTGTTCAACTCTCAGGCAGAAGATCTTAGTTTATTAAAATAATTTTTTTTTTCAATTTTTTTTCTGAAGACATCTTGGTTCTTTGCTATGGCATAAGGATCTTTGTTATCTAAAATGCTTGACATAGCAACTGATATGCATGTAACAGAAGTATGAATAAAGACAAAAAATCTCAATCAATGCAGCAACAAGCTCATAGGGAAACAAGGTATACATATAAAAAAAGGTAAAAAAATGCACATGTAAAATATTCCACCTGAAGAGAGCTCAGAGCCGAATCAGTGACACATAAGCCTCCTAGGTCCAATATTAAAAGATTAGTTAGTAAAGAGAGACGAGCAACACCATCTGCAGTGACACATGTCTCTGAAATGCACAACTTCTCCAGAGCTGAAATTGTCAAAAGATGTTCAATGCCAGCATCTGTTATCTTGGAGCATCTTGAAAGGTCCAATTCCTTTAAATTTGTCATTCCTGCAAGAAGTGAAAACATAGGTACTTAACATTAACAAATATTGAAACGAATAGACGTCATCCTTTCGACGATTCTTTCACTATATACCAACATCAGTATGAAGGACGCTAAATCGTCTCATATACTTATTCAGTCACTTAATGATGAAAGTATTACAACATATAAAACTAGTCAATCGTATCATGGGAATTTAACTGCAAGCTTGAGAGAATTTACCCAAGAATGAGAACATGCAGTTCAACAGAAAAAAAAATCACTTCTCTAAAGAATTCATGCCTTTAAAATAAATATATTTTAGTCAGACATTTCTGCCAATCACAAAAAAACTCAATGCTGCAGATGCAAGAGAATATGGCCTCTAGCTAACAGTATTGTTTATCGCTATTGATGTTAGATAAGTTAATAGTAAAAAATCAAAAATAAAAGTAGGCGGGAAATAGAGCAGCTAGGATAATATTGCGGACCATGAATTGAATAGATCACCAAAATATAATATCTAGATACCTGATATATTCCAAATGGCAGAATTATTAATTCTGCGACAATCAGCCAGATTCAATGAGTGTAAGTACCGGAATGCCCCCAAGTATGCCATCCATTCAGCATCCACACAGTTCTCACCTTTCAGATCAATTTCCTCCACATTACACTTAAAAACCCTGTAGTAGAAAATATAAATTAGCTCTTATAATTCCATCTGTCAATAGCAGGAAGGAGTGGTGCCAGTCAATTAACACATAAAATATAAAAAAGCCAATTTTCCGATAGTAATTTCATATATCAATAAATGCTACAAATGAAAATCTACTAGATCTTTGATCACGAAAATATGCATCTCAATTGTAGTCTCTTCAAAATCTTACACGTGCTTCACAAAAACAATGTTAAATGCAGGAAGAAGAATGTCCCAGTTATTTAGAATAAGAGCAATGCTATCCAGCCCCAGTGACATATGTGACAATAAATGCAAGGAGATGTAATTCATTTAATTTGACCTATCATATCTTAGCAGCAGTAGCTAATTTACCATTTATGGATCCCACCATAGAAAACAGATAAATCTACATATCAGGCCTTGTATCTAAACAGCATCAGCTAATTCATAATCTACCACTAACACGATCAAATAACAAAGGTAAACAATCACTACTGACCAAATTATGTAAAGATCGAGACCCTCCCTTTCAAGAAACGAGTATCAAAATCCCAAATAAGCCAACCATCTAACAAGGATCACAGATTTTCCAACAATAGGAAAATCAGATCAATAAAATAGAATCAGAAACAGGCAGCAAAAAAAATAATAATAAATCAGAAAGAGCTGACTCGAGCAACAGATTTCCAAATTTTGAGGCTTCTGTAGTTCATGTAAAACGTCGGTGGTGCATAAATCGATACCTGTATATCTTAACTAACTAATACTGGAATTCAGAATCTCAAGATGTGCATTTATTGTTATTGACGGTTTTTAAAATTTACTCAAGCAAAGAAGGAAATAGAAGGCGGCGTCGGAGAAGTCGGTGGAGGAGAGCATCCGCAAGATGAGACGGCATGCGCTCGAGTGTCCGGCGCTGCCTCCGCCACGTCTCCACGGCGGCGGCGCTCTCAGTCGCCGCCTCGATGCACATGTTGACCAATTTACTCGTCTCCTGTTCTCTACAATTGGATCCCATTTGATTTTAGAGGTTTCGTTCGACAAATTTCAATATACAAATGCCTGATTCAATAAACTTTGATTTTAGAGGTTTCGTTCGACAAATTTCAATATACAAATGCCTGATTCAATAAACTGAGAGAGGATTAAACTTGGGGAATTTGGCCAGATAGCCGGGTTGAACCAAGAAATTGGATAAAATGCGTTTCACCCATGTTTTATATAAAAAAAAAAAAAGGGAAGCATATATAAAGGGTACCGCTATTTCCATCC